ATTCTTTTCAAACTAAACTTTGCTTTAAACTGTTGTGTGCTTGGAAAAATATAAATTGTAATGTTAAAAATCTAAAAAAAAACTTGACAGGTTAAAAACTTTTTTTTGATAAATCACAAGACAGAAGTCAATGTCACAAATGAATAACTTTTATTTTAGAGTGACGGTATGTTTATACAAGATAATACTATTAATATAATGTGACTTTTCTAGAGAATCATTATATATATTATATTATATTTCTACAGAATAAATGCAGCCGTTTGTCGTTTCGGTAACTAGATCAAAATTACCGCTAGGTGGACAAAAATCACGCCATCTGGCGGAAAATCACCCGGCTTTTTCAAATCAGAGGCCTTTTTGAAATCACGTGAGAATGTGTACAAAACAACAAAAATGGCGCCGGCAACGCTTCTGGGTCGTTTTCATCGAATGTCTGCGATTTTAAAGTCATTTTGAGTGATAAATACATTTTTTTTTGCGATCATTGAACTTGCCCGGCGGGTAAATGCAATGAAATTTGTTCTCTCCCGACAATAAAAACTACTTTCCCCGGGAGATCAGGCGATGGTTAACATCGAGCCCTGCCCACCTTAAAGACCCTCCATTTCATCCACCTAAGTGACACATTTTCCATAAACGAGGGACATTAGCCAGGTTTTTTAATGGTTAGCCTCAACCTGATCCACTAAAAGTTCCTGAATGTTTGTATAAATGTTTGAATAAAAGGATTATTTTAAGTAAAAGATGACTTCTTTGTGGTTTAACATTTTATATTTATAGAAAATGAAACAAAAATTTATTTAACAAACAGTAAAAGGGCCCCATTTTTAACCCCTCTGCTCTTCACTATTCATTGATAACCCTGAGTCTCTATACTGGTGAAGTTTGAAGATGTTTCTCTTCCATCCAGGAAGCTTTTTCAATTCCAAATGTCAGAAATAGCGTTGAGTTCCAGGTTTATTTGAGGTTTACTTTGTTGGGCTTCTGTATAAAACCTCAAACTCGACATTATTCCTGACATTTTGAATTGAAAAAGCTTCCTGGATGGGAAGAGAAACGTCTTCAAACTTGGAATCAAAGTCCAGTGGATTGTTTTTAATTTTCTTTTTTTTTGGAACCCTGACTTTCAGTCTGAGGACTTTTGCACCCTCTATTGTAAAACGGATGAATGAAATCCAGTCTCTGTGCAGAACATGTGTACGTCAAACGGAACAGCCTTGATGGTGCCGACCATGTTGTCTCACCGTTATGTTGTCTTCAGTGCGATGTTTCCTGCTTAATTTTATTTTTTAAGATTATTTTTAGATTCTAGTGGCCTTTATTTTGGTATCTTTGAAAGTAGGTAGACTGGAAGGCTGGTTAACAACAGAGGGGAGAGACATTCGACCTGTGAAAGCTGGAATATGGGTCATACCATCATAGCTGCACCCCCCCAACAGAACGTTTATAATGACCTTTATAGAGGGCTTTGAATATTTTGGCCATTATAAAGTTTTAAGTTCTGGGAAAGTTTTATAATCTTACTTGCATGACTTTACTATAAAGTCAATCTCTGTTTGGTTTCTGTTTGCAGCCATTTGATGAGGGGGGGCGTAGAATCTCCACTCTGACCAGCACCATCGGCTTGCGTTTGTTCTCTACCCTTGATGATGGGAGCGGTTTCTCTCCGGCTGAATACATCCTGGATGCCTGGATAGAGGAAGGAATAGAAAACAGCGCAGAGATCCTCCAGGTGCCATAATCATGTGGATTTCCTTAGTTTGACTGAGATCGTCTTTCAGAGCAATAGATCTGCTGAAATGAAATTACTAAACCTGCTTCTTTCTGTTTTTCTCAGGCTTTGAATTTCGACCTAGATGGAAAGCTGAGTTTGGGTGACCTCACTGTGGCCCTTGAAAACGAACTGCTCAGTACCAAGAATCAGGTTCACCAAGCAGCGCTAGCAAGCTTCAAAGCTGAAATCCGATATTTGCTGTAAGAGTCGTTGCTGTGTTGCCTTTAAGTCCATTAGATATGGAATCATTTTAGAAGTAAAATAAGATTTAAAAGGAAAAAATAATAATCTCAAAACTACAGGGTGATTGAGTTCAGGTGACGCATTTCTGTATCTCTAAACTGTTCTCTTCTTTTCAGAGAGCGAGTAGACAGAGAAGCCCGGGAGAAGGAGAAAATCCGATCTGATCTGGAAAAAGCTGAAAAGCAGAAGACTCAGCTCGCCACTGAGGTGGATGAGCATCACTCTGCAATCGAGCAAATGAATAACCTCAATCTCAGGTAATTTATCCATTTTCTGTTTTAGCAGTTAGCCCTTTTATTAAAGAACAAATCAGCATCTCACTATAAACTTCATTTATTCATTAATAGTCTTTGGTTTTGGGGTTGTGTTTTACTCTTTTTTTGTTTTGGTTAGAAAAAAATATGTTTCCCAGATCAGTTACTGTGTTAAGAGGATGTGGAGTTAATAACCGATTTAAGACATTTAATCCCAAACTTCGAGTTTTTCTTTAAAAAATTAATCTGCTTCAGAAATTGAGACACTGTATGTCTATATCAAGGGTGTCCAAAGTTTGGCTTAGGGCCGCCTGTGGCCCCTGGAAGGAATTTGTGTGGCCCATCATGTGTTGCTTTACCACACAGATGCAGAATGAGACTTTAATGGTCAATTAAACAGACTTTTAATTTAAAAATGAAAGAATCTGGTACAACTCAAAATATAATTTTTTTATTAACCACTCTTAGAAAACAAGCCCTAAAGCTAATGTTTCTTTACCTTGCCTTAAAGTTAAAGAACAGTTCAGTCATTTAATTTTGTGTCATATATTTAAGATTTTGTCGTCATTAAATGATTGAAAAGTAATCCATTTATTATATTATTGTTTTCCTTTTTAATTTTTATCCTAAATATGTATTTATTGCTGGCAGGAAACTTGAACAAGACTACAAGGAGAAACTGGCGGCTGTACGATCGGAGCTGATGAAGGAGATGGACCAGATGCAGCAGCAGGCAGGTCTGCAGCGGGAAGAACTGGAGGCAGAGATGGAGAAGATCAGGGAAGATGAATCACTGCTGAGGGATCATCTCTCTATCTCACTGAAGGTGCCAGAAACAGTCCAGTTTCACTTTTATTTATCAATTAAAACACTTTGCAACTATATGATAAGTATATGCACGTCCTCTCTCATTGCTGCTAATGGTTTAAAGCATTGCAAAATGTCCAGGATACATCACATCATTGTCTTCTAACCCTTTTTCTTTGTGGCATTTCTTTCAGGAAAACCGGCGACTGGAGGTGGAATTACTTGACAGCACTGAAAAGCTCACAGAGGCGCAAAGCCAAGTAACCAAACTCCAGGCGAATTTAGAGAACATCATGAAAGAAAAGGTGCAAAAATCTTTTACACTTCAAATAAAATAAAAAAAAATCTCCATATATGAAACGTATAAAATGGGAATTTTCTATAGTTTGGAGACCTAGATCCAGGCAGTGCTGACTTCTTTCTTCAAGAGGAGCGAATTAAACAGCTACGCTGCAGCTATGAAGAACAGTGCCGGGTAACTGCAACTAAAACATTTTTCTTGTAAACTTTTTGACGGTTTATATCATCTGCACTTGGTTATATAAAATTAACCTCATTCTGTTGATGTTTAGGAGTTGCAGGATCGAATCGATGAGCTGCAATCAGAGCTGCGGGAGTTTCACACTCTTGGAAGATCTCATGAGTCCGGCGGTAAACCTCTGTCCGAGGAGCTGGAGAGCAAAAGCCCTGGCATGGAGTCCGACCCAGGTAGCATCAAACACCTCCTCCCTGTTCTAAGAAAGCTCTAAGAAGGGTTTAAGACTCAGGCTTAAGGCAGGAATGCTTTTGAGTATTTTGTAAGTATTTATAAATATCAGTAAAATAAAAGAGAATGAATATTTTTCTTAAAAAATTAAGTGCAGCTGTGTGTGGTGTACTGGGTAGCAGTGACTCTGTAGGTCTTTACAAAACTATGAAAGATAAGTTTATGATTTGGAGAAGTTTGATTGTTGGAACAGAGGGTGTACTGGTGTCAGACCAGCATTCTCCCATCTGTTCCTACTGGAGCTGTTGCCCATTGTCGATCCAAATCTGTCTTCAGGTATCGGTTCAGACGAGGTTCAGCCTTTCAGCATGAGCCTTGAAGCTGAGATGTTGCTGGAGCAGCTGAAGGAGCGGCACCATCAGGAAATGGAGAATCTACAAAACCAACTTGAAAGCAAGGTTTGTCATTTACTATCTGGCTCATCCCAGCTTCTCGTAATGCCTTTTTCGTCTAGTGATATAAGGTAAGACAGGGTCCCTATGCTGTCTGAAGACTGAGGAAATGTTATTTCCCAACCCTGAATTACACTTTTAACATTAAAACACTACAAATAATAAAAAAAAAAAAAGTGCAACCATAAGCAAATGTTGTAATTACTTAAAAACTGAGGCAAATGGTAAACAGCAGCAAACTCACACCACAAAACGAAAGAGCTCCAGAACCCTAGAGGGAGTCAAACAACGGACAAAACATATTGGACCAAAGTGTTACTTATAAACTAAACGATTAAGTTTTAGAAAATTAAATGAAAGATAACAAACCTTCTCTTTTATTTCTGCAACTTTCTTTAAAAAGATCCTGCATTAGAGCTGAACCTTCTATAGCGGGTTTGGTTCAATATGGTTTGTTCTTTGTTCGACTCCCTCTAGTGGTCTGGAGCACTTCTCTTTTTGTGGCATCAGTTTACTGTTTTATCATTTCCTTTCTGTGATTGCAGCATTTTGTTTGTGGTTGAATTATTTTTTTGTTTGCATCTTCCTTTCTGTTAATTGTAGTTTTTTGCTTCTATTTTTGACTGCAGCATTTTTTTGTTTGCAGTGTTTTTCTGTTTCATTTTGAAGGCATTCATCATCTTTCTGCCAACCACATTTTCTTCTTACAAGACAAACCTGTAGTGAAATTTCATGATTTTACTTTAGATATTAGTCGACTAATTTCAGATGAGTCTTTTCTTGTCTCTAAGTTTCAAGTAGGGATGCACGATATAATGGGCCCCCTATCGGTATCGGCCTTAATACTGAATATCGGACATCGGCCACCCCACCGATATTTAACCCGATATTTGATCAGCTTCTGAGTTTCTAAAGTCTAAAAAAAAAAACAAATACT